ATGGAGAAAAGTAAAAACATTAGCTTTGATTTAATTTTTTTCTGGACTGCAGCATGAGTTCAGTTATTAAGTAACACTCAATAACTAAACCCAGTTAATCAGGGAAACACTATGTTCCCTTTAGTTTAGCAACTAATCACACTACACCACCAATCCATCCTGTAAGATGTCCACTTCCAAGTCAATTTGTTTCAAAAGTTTATCTAAAATCTTTTTTTTCTTGCTAGAATTAAATTCTTTTTCCTAAATTCTGCGTACACAAAAATGCAAAGAAAAATACGTAATTCAGGTAAATGCTAAGAAGAGCAGAGATGACCAGAGCTATTTGCTTTCATTATCGATCAGTAATTTTCTGTCTTGCTGCTTGTCAAATGGCTCCACAGTACTATAATATCCTGTAAAACAAAGATGTTTCCTGAGTTTTAAAGGAAATCAGAAAAGGGAGATGAGACAATAATTAGGAAGAGTTTGGTATAAGGAAGGGAAATTTAATAAACGTATTTTTTTCTTACCCTGGATCTTTTTACTGCAGGCATTCAGGATTGGAATGGAACAATAATTCATTGCAACAAGAGCCAAAAACACACGCAGAGCATTCGGGAAAGTCAGATGGTCTATCTCTTTCAAAACGGCCATCTAAAGTGAATTAAGAGTTTATTAAATCCTTCATTCTTCAGGTATATTATCACTGCTTTCTGGTGAAGGCATTTTCACCAAAATTTTCCCAAATTCGTTAGCCTGTTCAGACTTATATGAAAGAAAAAAGAGCAACAAACAGCAAAAGCATAATGTAACTACTCTCAATTTCTTAATACACAATTATAGCAGATCAAGTATTCTAGAGCTGTGTCACAACGCAAGTTCCCAGCAATTTGCCTTTATATGTTTTTTTTTAAAGGAAGAAGTCTCAGTAAAGCTCATTTCCAAATACTGTGAATATGTATCTTCTACCAACTCTTAAAAAAGTAGCAGAAATGTAATGGGCACAGATGACTTATTAAATAATACCCCAATTACTGTTTTGGAAGTGTGTGAAAGCTGTAAGCCTTCAAAGTGATCCAATAGCACGCTGAGTGGTGTACAGCTACAAATGCAGACTAAGGCACAGAAGGTCAGCTCTGATGCCATAAAAAAGACTTCATTTATCGAAGCAGTAATTAGACTGATATAAATGACAGTAAAAATGAGACTACAAAGTATATTGGCTATTAAAATACAATACTCTTACTGCATGCATATCAAAGGTTAAATATAAAATGTGTCTACAATAGAAATTACACAGTATTAAAAACAGCACCCTGTAGGCTCAGAAAATTAAGAGCTCCCTTCAGTTACCAAGTGGAAATGTTAATTTCCTCTCAGTTCCGTATTCCACTGTATCTTTAGCCAGTTTCTCAGCATCCTGTAAAAAGTGGTACTTTGCCCAAGGTTTTACGATTTATTTACAACTAACATATTGCATGAGCCCCCGGCGCTGCTCTGTTCTTGCCCAGTTTCCCATCAGTGGTATCTTCCCTCACTTCCTCATGAATGCTATTACAAACTCTGACCTCAGAGCCCTTCAGCTACGTGACAAAAACACTAGCAAGCCCTGTTTGAAAGGTTTCAAAAAGTGTCTTTAAATCAGGGGGACAAAACCCAGTACACCCTGCCGTAAAACCTACGGCCCGCTCCCAACCACTGTATTTCCCAGGGGACCTTTCAGATACACAGAAAGACAAAGCCATGAGGTAGGCGAGTTCTACTGGCATCTCACTCCCCTCAGTCCTCTAGCCCTGTACCATTTCCAGACACAGCCCCATCACAGACAAGTTTTCTGTCTTCTCATCTTCCAGCCACAAGCTGGGCAAGGGATCAGGGAACAGCCTGCAAATGCTTCTACGAAATACCATGTGACTAACCCAAACAAGAGGTGAGGGCACTGCTATTTTGCTGCCTCAATTCCTTTTGTACCACCTCCATTGCTTTCTGCCCCCTTTCATGGTTGGATATTCCCAGCTTCCTAATTTAAGTTTTTCTTGCAGATATAGATGGACTATGATTCATATAGCAAACGCAGTTAACCTTTCTATAATATTTTCTCTTTGAGTGTCTGAAAAGAACCACACACAATTTATAAACGATGCAAGAGCACAGGCTTTGTAAAAATAAACATGAGCCTCCAACTAAATTTACCTCTAATTTCTTTTTCAGAAAGACTGGAGCATCTTTTCCCACGCATTTCATCAGGTTTTGCAGTATAAAGATGTCTCTGATACTTGGAATGCGCTGCTCCACTAGTAATCTGATGAAGAAACACACACAACACCTTAGGCTAGAGAGAGTAACTGTTTAATGGAGCTTTCCTCATTTCAGCAGAAATAGGTAGGGTACCCCCATTCTCCCTCACTGATGTACTCCCAAGTTAAAGCTGTAATTCCCTGCTCCTCTCCCACCTCTTTTTTGCAAGACTGGCATAACTCTACATGATGTGGCTGCAGCACAGATATTCTACACATGGAAATTATTACATATGCTTTCTTAATGTTATCCTGATAGATGAGTATTGTTGCTGATACATTAACAACAGGGGCACCTGACCAGACTGCACATGTGACTGTGCAGACATGAGTGGTGTTAAGCCTCAAGGAATTAACACTCTTCTGCAGAAAAAAAAATTGCACATTTTTATCACAGAATCGTCTACATGCAAGCAACCTCTGAAACAGCCAGGAAACTCGGGGACAGACACTGACAACAACTTGCTGCAAGTGAGGAAAAAAAACAAACAAGCAGTGCTGTGGCCTGCAGGAACAGAAGGGGATATCGTAACACAGAGGGATCATAAGCACAAGATGAAGGAATTCTGCATTCCCAGCACCTCCTTTTCTGGCTCAGAGGGATGTATTTTAATTGTTATGTCTGAATCACCCTTAAATATACCTGCACAGCTACAAACATACGAAATGTCACTTTCTAAGGCAGAGCACTGCTCTGAAATTCACCCCTGCAGATGCAGCTTCCTGCAAATGGGCAAGCACTCCAGACATCAAGACAAAGAAAGAGCTGTAGATGGATCTCCTGCTTTCTACCAACTTACAAGAACTGTGTACCTGAGCTTCCAGGAGAACCTGGTTTTTGCCTATCAGTAACACATCCACCTTCAGAACCTGGCACAGGACCAAAAGTCCTGATCCATGGCAAGGTTTTTGACAGTCTCAGTAAAAATAATCTCATGGGAGTGAGCAGATTGGTTACCCACATAAAACTCACTGACCCAGAAAAAAATCACTACAGCCAAAGAAATTATTCTGATACAGCACTACAGAGAAGGCCTTGCTGGACGCACAAATACAGTCTAAACTTGCCTTCATCTTAATTTTTACTTAGTAAATTAAAAGAAAATATTCCCTGGCTGTTCAATGTCATTTTTCATTATGAAAAATCACAATACTTCACAAAGTAAGCTAGTCTCATTACCTCCTTTCCACACAGATAAAACAGAGGCATAGATATGCGAAGTGACTTGATCAACATCACAAAAAAACCACAGTGGTAGAGCTGGAGTCAGAATATGAATCCCCTGCAAAGCAGTCTAGCACCCTCTGCCATCGGAAGCCTTTCTGCTTGAAACTGCAAAGACAATGCCAAAAATCACTGTCTTGTATGGCTGTTATCTCATACTATCATTTACGTCCTAAAAGGACAGTATCTCTTTTATGTGCAGACACTCCCTCTGTGATTTCTAAAAGACATATATTCAAACAACATTTAAATATGAAGAACACGTGAAAGATTTTTTTTCTCACTGTAATCCAGCTTGAAGAGCGCTCACATTCTTGTCTTTATCCAGCCCTGCTAAAGTAGTCGCCAAAACTGAGATACATCGGTTATCAAGTTGATTGAGTTTCTCCTGTTAAAAGAGTTTTCACAATGTCAGGTTCCTTCAGACCAGTAAAAGTTTCATAAAAGAAAAACTGACCACCCTTAATCTGTACCCGCCATCTTCTCTTTCACTAGGAGTCAATTCATAAGCTTTAATTCTGCCGTAACCTACAAGGTCTCACATCAGTCAAATTTAGTTGATTTGAAAACAGTAATGACTTTTGAGACCTCTCTCTTAAATTTGTATGAAATCAGGCAGTGGTTTTAAAAATGAAGGAAATTAGAGGTACACACAAATTAACCATGGGAGCCCTGTTTCCATGGAACATCAGACTACACCAGGGACATAACCCAACTCTCTCTGATGTTGCACAGCCTCCCAGAGTGAGCCCCAAGGATTCAGCCCACACTTAGAAAAGAGGGATTTTGATACTTACTTGGCAGACCCTCACCAAAGTCTGGACGAGGAGAGTGTTCTGAGGAACACCCAGGTTCACCACGGCATGCAGACTGAACACCAGGTCACCTCGCGTCATCCTTCTAGAGTCCCGCAGCAGCTGCTGACAAAGCTTCACAAAAGCGGGGTGCTCAAAGATCAGCTGCTTCTCGTAACGCTGCTGATCTTCAGAGAGGTTTTTGAAGAGCTTCCATACCGTAGTTAAACAGTTTGTGAAGTGCTTAATGGAAACAGCAGACTCTGCAGCCAAGTCCAGTGCATCGCAAGGACAGGTACATTTCTGGAGACTATTAAAGAATGCGTCACTATGATCCACCACATGCTTCTCTTTGAAACTCCCAGAATCATCCAACTTTTCAAGTTCCGAGGAGCTATGGGGAGCCTGCACACTCACCAAAGCCTCTGTACTCTTCTCTGGTTGTACTTTAGCACCTGTGCTAAAAGCATCTATCTTTTGAGACAGAAAACGAAGAGGTGATCCAAGCAGCGAAGGAGAAATATTTAAAAATAATTTCCTGAAGTTCACATTTTCCAGGGGATCCCTGTATCTGCCAATCGATAAAACATGTTTTCTTGTTGTGGCTGAAGATTTGGAAGTCAGCACAGAATTGCACCTATGCATGCATCTAACAGTATTTAACAAATAACTTATTTTATTATTCATTTTTGCTAATGTCTCATGAATACATTTGAAATGCCAACTCAAAGTAAGGGATCCGATGAAATTCTACCAGCGATAACAGTCCTGGAGAAACTGCGTAAGATCACTTATCTGTAAAAACAATTGAAAATTATGGATTAGTTACCAGACTTTCAGTTCCTAAAGTTTCAATTGTCAAATCTATGCTCATCTTTAACAGGAGAAAAAAAAAAAAGAAAAAAATATTTGGAAAAAGATGCCTGGAAATTGATTTGCTGACGGACTTTTATGTGTGACTCCTACGCTTTAGTCAAAGCTCTCAACACAACGCAGGTGTCAACTGGGTGTCAACTTTTCCCTCTCGACTGTTTTAACCAAGATCTATGCCGGGAGGAACAGTCTTTTCCTGACGGGCGTTTCTCCACGCAGACCCGTCTCCTGGCAGGGCTCTGGTGGGTCACTGCCACCCTCCAGCTCCGGTTAACAGAACTGCGGCCACCAACAGCCTGCCCCAGCCTCCCTGCCGCCATCCCCCGGGGCCGAGAGCACCCGGCGGGGCAAAGCCTCTCGATTGCGGCCTCGTTTTCTGCAGGCGCTGGGAACGCTGCCCCGGGGGTACGGTACCAGCCGCGCGGGCCCAAGGCCCCGCGGCCCGGG